AAGAGGAACTGATGCAATTATTGTTTAATACTGTATGGTGTATACATGTGAGTGCATGAAAATGAAAATAAAAATAAAATATACTATAAACAAAAAAGTAAAAAGAAATTTAAAAAAATTGACATATTTATTTAATTAGTTAGTTAATCTGGAAAGAACTCCTATGACATTATAGCCAAATAACAACTTTGTGTTTATAGAGTATCAACAATATCAACATCAGGTGCCACTTATTAATATTCTTCACAATATAAACAATGTGCCTTTTTAAAAGACCCAGATTGCAGATTTAATCTATTTGGCAACTGCTATCATCTCTTTGATTTTAAGTAGCCACAATTAATTAATTATTACTTCATCGTTACTGCGTTTACATAAGCAATGAATCAATGTAGCATTAAGCAAGTTGTTCTCTCCCACAGTACCTAAGAAAATAAATAAATCTGGAAAGCATACTACTTTGAGTTGTGTGAATCTGGCAATATCCCCAAACATTTCCGAACAATTTTGCAATGAAACATTTGATAGTGGGCTATATTGCAACTTGAAAACCAGGACAGGCATGTTTCAAAATGACTGTTTTTACTTTCTTATTAAATATGATCATAAACTTTCATAAATTGTATAATTTTAGGAGTGTATACAGCAAATGAAATAAATGCATATGATAGTTTGGTTTAGCTAATGTAATTTATGCAGGTTCTGTCAATTTTTCATTTTGGATGAATATCACACACCCACTCTTGTCCTGCTTTCTATGTCTTAGAGAATGGGATTAGCTAAAAACAAACCTCAATGAAGAATATGCTCCATAATTTCCCCCATGATTTGGATTCCACCAGAGAATTGTGGCTAGCCAAGTGGCTTGCCTTCACAGCGAGAGTATGATGGGCCACACCCAGGACAATAATGCCCAGCAGGAACACAAAAGGATTACTGGAACGGAGAAGCAGGAATCCTGGAAATGGAAAAGAAGCACTTAGAATCTTTCCAGATATAAGCAAAGATAACAATGCAGTCCAGATTCATGTCATTTATCATCTTCCATGGCAGTCTTCACAAATATAATTTGAGAAGTAGATTTAGTTCAGAGCCTCAGGAGAGAGGCAGAACATTTTCTTGGCACAGCAGAACATAAGGAGTGTCCTGCTGGATGAGATCTCAGAGTGTTTTCAGAGTGGCCAATCAAGCAAGGAAGTCCATCTCCCCCCCCCCCCCCGAGGCTTTCAGCGATAGCCACACTGCCATCAAGGGTGATCTCCATGACTTCCATGACTTGATCCAACCCCTTTTTTGAATCCAGCCAAGCTGGTAGCCAGCACATCTTGTTAGTACTGAATTCTAAGGTTTGACTGTGTATTTGTGTACACCAAAGAGCCACCGTGGTGTAGTGGTTAGAATGCAGTATTGCAGGCTAACTCTGCCAACTGTCAACCGTTCAATCCTAATCGAGATCAAGGTTGACTCAGCCTCCCATCCTTCCAAGGTGGGTAAAATGAGGAGCCAGATTATTGAGGGGAATACAACAGCTGACTCTGTAAACCACTTAGACAGGGCTATAAAGCACTATGGAGTGGTATATAAGTCTAAGTTCTATCGCTATTGCTACTTTTTCCTTTTGTCTGCTCTGCCATTCTTCCAGGATTCAATTTCATTGGGTAGCCTCTGGTTTTAGTATTTTGGAAATGGGAAAATACCTTTCTTCATCCACATTATCCATACCATGCACAATTTTCTACACCTCAGTCATATCACCTATCATTCACCTTCTTTCTAGACTAAAAAAGACCTAATATTGAAAATTTTATTTATAGGGAAGCTGCTCCAACCCCTTCATCATCTCAGTTGCTTTTGTCTGAATCTTCCCTATCTCCATATATATCCTTCTGGGGTTTATCAACAGGAATATTCTAGATGTGGTCATTGCAATATTGACAACTCATTTTTTATTATCCCCATGATGCTGTCGTCCTTTTTTTATAGCAGAAGTTGAACCTTTGCCAACATTTTCATTGAACTGTTTACCATTACTCCTTGATCTCTTTCTTTATCAATCACTGCTGGTTCTGAACTTATTTGTTTGTAGGAATAGTTAGGATTTTGGGGGGCAATGTACATCACCCTATATTTGCTCACACAAAATAACATCTGACCAGGGATGAAATCTACTTACCTTTGCTACCGGTTTGGAAATGTGCTTGCATGTGCCACCTCTGTGCATGCGCGGGACCTTCCGTGCATGCACAAAGCATCAAAAACAGATGTGATGACGCCTGGGTGGGTGGGCGGAGCCTGCTACCAAGCACACCTGCAAAGGTAAGTAGAACAGCAAAGGGGGGGGGAAATCCGCTGTGTCACACGATTTAGATTAGCTAGAAAGCAGGAAATCCAATGATTCTAGCTAATATAAATTGCACACCACAGCTGATCGTCAGAAATACTAGTTCATCTGAACCAGTAGCATTTTTTTTACTACCAGTTCAGGTGAACCCATCCAAACTGGTAGCATTTCACCCCTGCATCTGACATTTTGATGCCCATTAGTGCAGTGATCCTTTTGGAACTGTTTACAATCCTTTGTTGTTTTTACCATTCTGAACAATTGGGTGTCGAGCTGTGTTGAGTATTCCACTAGTCATCTCAGATCATTTACCAATAAGTTAAAAAAGATCACTCCTAGTTACATCTCTTCATTGTGAAAAATGTTCATTTATTCTTATTCTTTGTTTTCTATTCTTTAGTCAGTCGTCTATGGATGGATAGCCATTAGATACAAGACTGGCCTGCTATTTACAGTTCAGGAAAGCTTAATGCTTTAAGGATTGCCTTGTTGTGTATTTTACACAGATTCCTGTTTTTGGAAGATCCAGCACGGCATTTCAGTTGGCGTCCCAAAGCTCTTGTAGCAATGGTAGATTTGTTGGGAACTGTAGCCCTAACCAATTTGAAACAAAAATCATATTTAGAATAGAATAGAATAG